TTTAGCCTATTTTTTCTTTATATTTAGAGTGGCTTTGTTGTGGGCAGCATATAGTTAGGTTTTGCTTTTTTTTAATCCAATCTGATTATGTCTACCTTTTGTGTGTGTGGTGTTTAGCCTGTTTATTGTAATCTGATTCTCATTACTGTTGGGTTTAAATCTATCATTTTCTATTTGTTTTCTATTTGTCCCATCTGTTCTTTGTTTCTCTTTTTCTGCCATCTTTTGGATGAATTGAGTGTTTTTTATGTTTCCATTTTATCTCCTTTGTTGGCTTATTAGCTATAACTCTGTTTTGTTATTCAGTGTTTCTTGTAAGGTTTATAATATACATTTTGTACTTATCACAATCTGTCTTCAAGTGACATTATACTGTTTCAAATAAAGTATGAGAATCATGTAGAAGTATACTTCAATTTCTTCCCTCCTCACCTTAGTGCTATAGTTTTCATTCATTATACTTCTACCTATATTATAAATCTCCCAGTGCAATGTTGTTGCTTTTGTCTTTAAAATAGTCCATTATCTTTTTAAGCATCTTTACTGAGATTTATTCATATACCATATAATTCACCCATTTAAAGTATACAATTCAATGGTTTTTAATATGTTCAGAGGTATGTTCGACCATCACCACAGTCAAGTTTAGATTATTTTTATCATCTGAAGAAAAAACCCTGTATCTTTTAGCTCTCACTCCCTACACCTTGTCCTCACTCTCCCCCCAGCATTAAGCAGTCACTGATGTACTCTCTGTCTCTATGGATCCCTATTCTGGACTTTCATATGAATGGAATCACATAGTATGATTTACAATGAGAAATCTTCTGTTATCTTCACCTTTTTTCCTCTATACATAGTATATTATTCTTTTTTCCTCTGGCTACTTCTAAGATTTTCTTTTTATCACTGATTTCAAGCAATTTGATTATGATATGTGTTAATGTAGCTTTCTTCTGTTTCTTATCCTTGGGTTTGTTAAGCTTCATGAATCTGCTGCTTTATAGTTGTCATTAACTCTTGAAAGGTTTTGGCCATTATTTCTTTAAACATTTTTTGAATAGCCCCTCTCTCCTCTGTCTTTTGGGGACTTCAATTGTATATATATTTGGTTGCTTGAAGTTGTGCCATATTTCACTGATGCTCTGTTTATTTATTTATGCTTTTAGTTTGTTTTCACTCCGTGTTTCATTTTAGATGGTATATATTGTTATGTCTTCGTAATCTTTTCATCTGCAATGTGTAGTCTGTCATTAAGCCTATCGAGTATATTTTTCATCTTAGCCATTTTAGTTTTCATGTCTAGAAGTTAATCTGGATCATTTCACATGTACCATTCCTCTACTTAACATGTCCAACCTTTCCTATAGCTTCTTGAACATATGGAATATAGTTATACTAATTATTTTAATGTCCTTTTCTATTAATTTCACCATCTATTATTTCTCTGTCAACTTCAACAGATTTTCCCCCTCATTATGGGTTATGTTTTTCTTCTTCTTTGCCTGTCTCATAATTTTTTATTAGATGTTGGGGATTGTCAGTTTTACCTTATTGGATATTGAATAAATATTCTTGAGCTTTGTTCTGGGATGCAGTTATGTGGAAATAGTTTGATGCTTTCAGGTCTTGCATGAGCTAAATTTTGTTAGTTGGGGCAAGAATAGGGTTTAGTCTGGGGTTTATTTTTCACCACTACCGAGGCAACATTCTTTTTATTATTTTAACCTAGGATTTCTCAACCTCAGTTCTAATGATATTTGGGGACAGATAATTCCTTGTGGTGGAGGACTGTCCTGTGCATTGTAGAATGTTTAACAGTATCCCTGGCCCTTACAAACTATATGCCAGTAGCATGCCCCCTGTTGTGACAACAAAAATGTCTCCAGATATTGCCAAATGTCGCCTTAGGGACAAAAGTGCCTTCCATTTGGGAACCACAGCTCTAACTGATGCTCACTTAATTATGAGATTTCCCACACTGACTGTAGACAAGAGGTATTATTCCTGACTGTGTGTGATCTCTGAGCACTGCTCCCTGTAATCGTTTTTGGTGGTTATTTCCCTGGCCTTGGGTGGTTTTCTCACTTGCATGCACTAATCAGTACTTTTCTGAATATTTGAGGGAGACCCTGAAGATCTCTGGACTCCTCTTTATTTTCAGCTCTCACCTCTCTCGTACTCTATCATATGAACTCTAGTCACCCTCTTTTTGTCAGACTCCCATCTCTGTGTACCCAATTCAGGGGGCCTGCCTAGGTTCCCCCTCCCTTGCTGTACCCTGGAAACTTTCTCCAGCTGGTAATGTGAAGCAATATTAGGACTCACCTCACTTGTTTTTTATATTTCAGAGATAATTGTTTTGCATTGCCTCACGTCCAGTGTCTTGAGTGACGTGGTTTGCATATTTTGTCTAGTTTGTTTTCAGTTGTTTCAAGTGGGAGGGTAAATCCCTTCCATACTTTGTCTTGACTGGAATTAAAAGTAATGTTCAGTAGCTTTTCTAAACTTCCAACTATTTGGGACTTGTCCAGATATTTTTGTTATTTATTTCTAGTTTAATTCCACTGTGACTGTAGAAATGTCTCTGTATAATTTCAATTATTTTAAATATATTGAGACATGTTTTATGGCCCAACATCGGTATATCTTTGTGCTGTTAGTGGATGGAATGTCTTATAAATGTCGTTTTCTTTCTTTCCTGAACTTGTTAGTATTATTTGAATATTCTTGTTAGTATTCCATGTAGTCTCCTCTCTTGGCTTATTGGCTCCGCCTCTTTGACCCTTTTAGTAGTTGCCCTAGTATTTGCAATATGCATCTTTATCTTATCATGATCTAGTTTTAAATGATGTTATACCTCTTAGTAAACTGTGAGAACCTTACAAGAGTCTTTTTAAAAATTTATTTATTTATTTATGTATTTTTGGCTGCATTGGGTCTTCATTGCTGTGCGGGCTTCCTTTAGTTGCAACAGACAGGGGCTACTCTTCATTGCGGTGCGCTGGCTTCTCACTGCGGTGGCTTCTCTTGTTGCGGAGCATGGGCTCTAGGCATGCGGGCCTCAGCAGTTGTGGTGCATGGCCTTCAGTAGTTGTGGCTCGTGGGCTCTAGAGCACTAGAGACTCAGCATGGGCTTAGTTGGTCCACGGCATGTGGGATCCTCCCGGACCACGGCTGGAACCCATGTCCCCTGCATTGGCAGGCAGACTCCCAACCACTGCACCGCCAGGGAAGCCCACAACAATAGTCTTCCATTTTCCTCCCCTATCCTTCATGATATCATTTTGATAGATTTTTGTTCTATGTATGTTATTAACACCAAAATGCATAGTATATTGTTGCTTTAAACAGTTTTTGAAGACATTAAAAATAATGTGAAGAAATTGTTTCAATATTTACTTACATATTTATCTTTTCCAGATCTCTTTATTTCTGTGTATATATCCATGTTTTCATCTGGTATCATTTTCCTCCTGTTTGATTCCTTTAACATTTCTTGCAGTGCAGGTCTGATGGCAATGAATCATGTCAGATTTTGTTTGTCTGGAAAATTATTTTGCTTTTGTTTCTGAAAGATATTTTCCCTGGGTATAAAATTCTAAGTAGACAGTTTCTTTCTTCCGCACTTTAAAGTTGTTCCATTGTCTTCTGGCTTGCATAGTTTCTGATGAGAAGTTTATTGTATTCTTATGTTTGTTCTTCTGTATGTAATATGTCTGTTTTCTCTGGCCACGAGGCACGTAGGATCTTAGCTCCCTAACCAGGGATTGAACCCACACCCCCTGCATTGGAAGGCGAAGTCTTAACCACTGGACTAGCATGGCTTTTTTAAATGTTTATTCTGTTTGGAATATTGTCTCTCTCCCCTTATTGGAATGAAAGACCCACAAGAATGGGGATGTTGTCTGTTTTGTTTACTGCTATATCCCTAGTATGTAGAACTGTGTCTGGTATGGGGTAGGTACTTGTAAATATGTATTGGTTGAGTGAATGTATTCCAGTGGTGGTATATGCTTGGGTCAAGCTGCTGAGTGGTGCCAGACCCTCTGGAGTCCCTGGTTCCTGGCTGTTCCAAGCCTGGTTCTTTAGTTTTCCTATGAGTTTCTTTAGTTTTCCTATGAGTTTCTTTAGTTTTCCTATGAGTTTCTTTTGAGCTTCCCTATAGTCTTCCAATACATTTTCATTTTTGCTCAAGTTACACAGAATTCTTTTTTTTTTTTTGCTTACAATCAAAGATCTCCAGCTGAAAACCTACCTATAAGAATGTCTCTCTTGGGAATTTCCTGGCGGTTTAATGGTTAGGACTCCACACTTCCACTGCAGAGGGTGGGGAACTATGATCCCAAAAGCCACACGGCACAGCCAAAAAAAAAAAAAAAAAAAAAAGAACGCCTCTCTCAAATTTGGAGCGTTATGTTGTCAATATCAGTGAAGGACAAAGGACATATGATCTGAGATGTGATCCCTGTGAGTTGTTGAAGTTGGAATTGCTATGATTACTGACTCAATTCTGTCACTATTTGCTGAAGTATTGGCATTTCTAGGACACTTGAGAGGTTTATGGGGATAATATCCAGTTGGGTATTTAATGTCAAGGCAGTCCTGGAAAAGTCTCCTGACATGCTTTCTCATGTACCTGGCTGTTGTCTGTTTCTGGGGTGATTGCACATTTAATAAGGGTAGCTGTAATCTTGTCTTGAAAGCAGAGATCTATGACTTGAATTTTGGATGTGTAGTAGGCCACAAAATTTAACATCAGAAGACTTCAGTGTGAATCTATTCCTCTAGCTTATTGGCCGAAGCTTTGTCAAGTCCATTCTCCAAGTAGCTTTTGTGATATAGCACCAATAATAGGAAGGAGAATGCTTAGAACGCTTCCCAAATTCCCAGGCCCTGTCTGTAACTGCCTCACGTGTTTTTCAGGACACCATTTTTGGGAGTCACAAAGCGCTTCATTTTCAGGTCAATGTGAGTTTAATAATCACCATGCATTTTATTGAGCTTCACAGACATTGCGTTTTGTTACAAATTGATATTTGGCAACCCTGCATCGAGCAAGTCGGTCAGCACTATTTTTCCAGCTGCATTTGCTCACTTCACGTGTCCGTGTCATATTTTGATCATTCTAGCAATGTTTCAAACCCTCCACCAGCAAAAGGATTACTACATGCTGAAGGCTCAGGTAATGGTTAGCATTTTTTAGCAATAAAGTATTTTTAATTAAGGTATATACATTGTTTTTTTAGACATAATGTTATTGTACACTTAATAGGCTACAGTATAGTATAAACGTGACTTTTATATGCACTAGGAAACCAATGAATTTGTGTGATTCAATTTATTGTGCTGCTTGCTTTGTTGTGGTGGTTGGAACAGAACCTGCAATATCTCTGAAGTCTGCCTGTACAGACTCTAAGATAGTTTGTAACTAGGTGAGCAGGCTACCGCATCAAAGGTTCCTTAGTGGGAAAGTCGTTGCTAAAAGTCTACCAAAAATGAATTCTTTCTTTCCATCTGGAAAAGAAATACCTATACCCCAGTGGGTCTGTAAATTCCTCTTCATTATTATTATTATTCAGCTTAATCTGAAGGCATTTACTAGCTCCCCTTCCTTCAGATTATTGCCATCTGGGCTCTTAGCATTTCCTCCAAAGATTGGTAATCAGTTAGTGTGCAGAAAGAATTTATAAATATGTAAGAACTGTGTTTTCCAGGGTTAAATGGGTGACATTATGTTCCTGTACCTCATCCTTTAGTGCTTCTGGAAGCATCATAATTTCCTGAAATAGAGCAAGAAAGGGCAAACTCAATGAGCAAATAAAATCTTTCTTTGGTGGTTGTCTAGGACTGATGTAGGAGGAAAAGCCAGATTTCCTGGTAGATGAGTTTGTGAGAGATGCTTTTGTAATGCCTTGAATAGAAGGCTTGAGGCCAAGTATGTAATCGAGCAAAGCCTACTCCAACACTACTGTGTTAGTAAGAGCACATAATCCCTTCTGAGTGAATTTACAACTGCAAGGCTATTAGGCGGCCATAGCTCCCCTAAGTACTAATTGTAATGGAACACGCTGGCCCACATCTTAGCCACACTGGGGACAGTTATGCCAAGAACACTGCTCTCTACTCAGCGTCATCTCGACTGTCTTCCTGGATAATGTTGCTCATGTTCGCAAACAGCCGGCTTGGAAGTTATCCTTGTGTGACTTGTTAGCTGCTGGTCTTTCAGCCAAATCACTTTGTCTGTGTGCACAGAGCACTTATTTATTTATTTATTTATTAACATCTTTATTGGAGTATAATTGCTTTACAGTGCTGTGTTAGTTTCTGCTTTATAACAAAGTGAATCAGTTATACATATACATGTGTTCCCATATCTCCTTCCTCCTGTGTCTCCCTCCCTCCCACCCTCCCTATCCCACCCCTCTAGGTGGTCACAAAGCACCAAGCTGATCTCCCTGAGCTATGTGGCTGCTTCCCACTAGCTGTCTATTTTACGTTTGGTAGACACGGAGCACTTTAAAAGGGGAAAAGCCCAAGGCACTTAGGGGATTCAACTTGATTATCTTACTGTCAGTCGCTACAAACCCAAACATTAGTTTGTGCCATCTCCAGCTCAAGGTGGCTTAGATTCTCTTTGGCAGAACACAGAGGATGTTCCATTTCACATGTTCAATGCGTAGCCTTGACATTATGCAGGGCCTGGGAACAGGATAAATTCAGACTGTGTCACAGACCCATAATTTTCCCAAGCATTCTTTTCCACACAGGAACCCCAATTCTACCAAGCTTTCCATCTGGAGTGGAGATCTTTGGAAGAAGCAAGGTGATGGGTCCTGTGCACTCTCATCTGAGCTTCGTGGGATGGAGGAATCATCGGAGGAGCCCAGAGAAGACTTGGGCTGATGCTTCACAAAGTGGTAAGCAGAAGACTTGGTCTCTAGCATTGTCACACTTTCTCTTCTCTCTACCCCTCCTACTGTCCAGATACCCGATCTGCTGTCTCATTCAGCAAGGAAAGCCTCCACACTGGCTCTAGATCCGTGATGTGAAGGGAGGGAAGAAACCTGCCATGTGAAGATCTCAGAAAATTTGGAGTCAAGTTTCTTTTTGTTATAAATGACAGAAACCTTCTTTCCTAGTTGAAGCGTACAAGAGAATTTATTGGAAGAATACTGAGGTAGCTCGCAGAATCAGTGGAAGAACTTCAGGAACCAAAGCAGCTCAGGAAACTTCAAGGAGTGAAATTGGAGATTTGATAGCAGCAGTGAATGTGTGCTTACGTGCTACTGTGGGCTCTCTCTCGCGCTCTCTCTCTCTCTCTCTCTCTCTCTCTCTCTCTCTCTCTCTCTCACACACACACACACACACACACACACACACACACACACACGCACACTCATCTCTGCTCATTTCTTCCTGGCCCCAAACTCTCTTGTTGCAAATGAGCTTTCTTTTTCTGGTGGAGAACATGGTTTCTGGCATCCCTGGATTTACAGAATTCCATCTTGGAGACCCCAGAGGAAAGAGAAAGCATCTTTGTTCTCTTGTCAGTATTTGAACATCCCTAAGGAAAGAATCTGAACATAATCCTAGGGTTTTAGTTGGCCACAACTTGGCATAATGTGACATGCAGCTGATGAACATGTGACCGTGATCAGAGCTGCACTGATACAAGCAGACTGTCTAAATCAAAAGACGTGATGGATTCAAAGTCTTCTCTATTTTTCTTTTTAAGAGAATGGTGATTGAGTTTACGAGCCCGCTGAAGATCTGGAAACCATGAATTATGAGGTCATTTTGAAGAAGCTGGGGATGATTTATGCCGAGGAGAGAAGGCTCAGGTAGGGTTTAAGGTGGTGTGGGATGTGAAAACTGTATGATGGAAAGGGACGAGATTTCCTGCCTGCTGTGGAAGATGGAAGTCACAGCAATGCAGGGGCAGGGGTTAGAGAATATCATGAGTGGAAAGTTCATTGGTCTTAGAATCAGGAGACCTAGACTTTAGTCTTGGTTTTGCCTTTGTCTGAATCTCCTCCTTGTTAGGGTGGTTTGGCCATGGTGTGGATTGGCTGGGCCATGACTCGGATGAGATGTCTGGGATTGGCGGTTGGAGTCAGTGAAGCCAAAGGTGTGTGGGTCAGGGTGGGAAGCAAGTCTAAGTTCTTTACAGAGAGCTGGAGACAAAATCCGAACCCCAGTTTGAAGGTCCAGAGGCAAAAATCACAGGGATATTAGAGCAGGAGCAGGTCACGAATAAGTGGGGATAGGTGGGTCTTGAGGAATTGGTGAAAACATGAGTAGGTGCTTGTTGATTGCCTCTAGCTGTTTGGGGAGCCTGGTGGGGTGCACCAGTATCCAGGGCTAGGGCAAGTCATTATCTAGCCATGTGACCTTGGATGACTCTCCTCTGGGTCTCAGGTACCTTAGCTGGGAAGTAAGGGGTTGAAGTGGTGACCCCCAGGGTCCTTTTTAGCTCTGGTTTTATGAGTTACAGGAATGAAATCTTGAGTGTTTTATTAGAACAGAGTGTTTTACCAATTAGAGCCGTCAACTCATGGAGCTGGCAACCTTGGCCAGTAGAGAAAATTCCAGATCTATTGGCAGGATGAGGAGGCCTAGATTCTGTATTTTAATTTCTTTTAAGTAATATCTCTCCTTGAAAGGGTTAGAATGTGCCTCGCAGGTACAGCCTTCCAGTGGCATCAGCCCCCTTCACGTTTGGCTGGTTTCTCCCAGTCAGTGGAGCCATTGCAGCAATCGGATGTTCTCTATTTTGCCACAGTAGGAAGTAATATAAACACTCTTCAGATTTTCACTGGTGAGAGTATTTTTTGTTGTTGTTGTTCTTGTCTTCTCTTTGGAAAATCTCCACGGCTGCACCATTTGGCTATCTGAAGCTTTTGCATGCATCGCAAACACCATCTGTTATAACCCGAGACACACACACGGCATGGAATTAGGAATAGAAGCCAGTGTTGCAGCTGGACATGGCAGAGGAAATTGATAGAACCACCACTTCCTCTGCAGGACTGACATGGTGAATGGGGCATCTGGGGTTTGTCTGAGCTTTTGCATTCATCAATTAAAGATCTCTTTTGGCTGCTGCAGAGCCATTGCCTATTTGATTACAAAACTTGCCTTGAAGAAAACAAGTAGCTGCTTCTTAGTGCAGGAGGAAGTCTAACCTGGGGGCTATTTCAAGAGGCCTGAGAATTCCTTGGTCAAGAAGACTAGGTCTAGATGCAGGAGGCATGGCTCTCTGTCTCCACCATCAAATTTCTCCAGAGGGGCCCCATGGGGCCACTGAGCTGGCAGACTCGTCCTCTCCCCAGCTGGTCATAAGAAGCTCTTGGCCTCTCTATTGCAATCTCACCTTTTGTGCACATGATCTTTGCAGCATTCCAAGAAGCAGGGAAGACTCTACTGTCTACTGCTATTCAGGAGAAAACAGAGGCTCAGGGATGAGGTGAGCCTGAATTCTAAATTGGACAAGATGGTTCTTTGGGACCTGAGTCCACCATCTTCTCAGTCTGCCGGCTTTCTGAATAAAGTCGCTGTTCCTTGCCCCAGCAACTCGTCTCTCGATTTATTGGCCTGTCGTGTGGCAAGCAGTAGGAGCTTGGACTCGGTAACGGCATCTGTGTGGACTTCGTCTGCTTTACAGCATACTCCTCAGGATGCTTCCCATAAGCCAACACTGAAGAGGCTGGTGCAGCAGAGCAAGAATAAAGGAAAGATGTGCAGGACAGCAGTAAAGAGCCTAAAACCTGGGCTCTAGTCACTGCTGTGCCCCTTATGATAGAGGGGAGGGAGTAAAGTCAAACATTGCCTCGTTCTGGTCAGCCTGGAGAGGATATATGTGTTAATTTCTTCCTTCCTGCAGTCATTCACAGGTGGGCCTGCTCAGGAAGTTTCCTGTGAACTAAAAAAAGGTATTTTATTTTATTTATTTATTTTTAACATCTTTATTGGACCATAATTGCTTTACATTGTTGTGTTAGTTTCTGCTTTATAACAAAGTGAATCAGCTGTACATATACATATATCCCCATATCCCCTCCCTCTTGCATCTCCCTCCCACCCTCCCTATCCCACCCCTCTAGGTGGTCACAAAGCATCGAGCAGATCTCCCTGTGCTATGCGGCTGCTTCCCACTAGCTAGCTATTTTACGTTTGGTAGTGTATATATGTCCATGCCACTCTCTCGCTTTGCCCCGGCTTACCCCTCCCCCTCCCCATGACCTCAAGTCCATTCTCTACGTCTGCGTCTTTATTCCCGTCCTGACCCTAGCTTCTTCAAAACCACTTTTTTTTTTTAGATTCCATATATATGTGTTAACATATGGTATTTATTTTTCTCTTTCTGACTTACTTCACTATGTATGACAGTCTCTAAGTCCATCCACCTCACTACAAATAACTCAAATTCGTTTCTTTTTATGGCTGAGTAATATCCCATTGTATATATATGCCACATCTTCCTTACCCATTCATCTGTCGATGGACACTTAGGTTGCTTCCATATCCTGGCTATTGTAAATAGAGCTGCAATGAACACTGTCGTACATGACTTGTTTTGAATTATGGTTTTCTCAGGGTATATCCCAGTTGTGGGATTGCTGGGTCGTATAGTAGCTCTACTTTTACTTTTTTAAGGAACCTCCATACTGTTCTCCATAGTGGCTGTATCAATTCACATTCCCACCAACAGTGCAAGAGGCTTCCCTCTTCTCCACACCCTCTCCAGCATTTATTGTTTCTAGATTTTTTGATGATGGCCATTCTGACTGGTGTGAGGTGATACCTCATTGTAGTTTTGATTTGCATTTCTCTAATTATTAGTGATGTTGAGCATCCATTCATGTGTTTGTTGGCAATCTGTATATCTTCCTTGGAGAAATGTCTATTTAGGTCTTCTGCCCATTTTTGCATTGGGTTGTTTGTCTTTTTGATATTGAGCTGCATGAGCTGCTTGTAAATGTTGGAGATTAATCCTTTGTCAGTTGCTTCATTTGCAAATATTTTCTCCCATTCTGAGGGTTGTCTTTTCGTCTTGCTTATGGTTTTCTTTGCTGTGCAAAAGCTTTTAAGTTTCTTTAGGTCCCATTTGTTTATTTTTGTTTTTATTTCCATTCTTTTTGAAACACCAGAAGGTGTGTCAAAAAGGATCTTGCTGTGATTTATGTCATAGAGTGTTTTGCCTATGTTTTCCTCTAAGCGTTTGATAGTGTCTGGCCTTACATTTAGGTCTCTAATCGATTTTGAGTTTACTTTTGTGTATGGTGTTAGGAAGTGTTCTAATTTCATTCTTTTACATGTATCTGTCCAGTTTTCCCAGCACCACTTATTGAAGAGGCTGTCCTTTCTCCACTGTACATTCCTGCCTCCTTTATCAAAAATAAGGTGACCATATGTGTGTGGGTTTATCTCTGGGCTTTCTATCCTGTTCCAATGATCTATATTTCTGTTTTTGTGCCAGTACCATACTGTCTTGATTACTGTAGCTTTGTAGTATAGTCTGAAGTCCAGGAGCCTGATTCCTCCAGCTCCGTTTTTCGTTCTCAAGATTGCTTTGGCTATTTGGGGTCTTTTGTGTTTCCATACAAATTGTGAAGTTTTTTGTTCCAGTTCTGTGAAAAATGCCATTGGTAGTTTGATAGGGATTGCATGGAATCTGTAGATTGCTTTGGGTAGTAGAGTCATTTTCACAGTGTTGATTCTTCCAATCCAAGAACATGGTATATCTCTCCATCTGTTTGTATCATCTTTAATTTCTTTCATCAGTGTCTTATAATTTTCTGCATACAGGTCTTTTGTCTCCTTAGGTAGGTTTATTCCTAGGTATTTTATTCTTTTTGTTGCAATGGTAAATGGGAGTGTTTCCTTAATTTCTCTTTCAGATTTTTCATCATTAGTGTATAGGAATGCAAGAGATTTCTGTGCATTGATTTTGCATCCTGCTACTTTACCAAATTCATTGATTAGCTCTAGTAGTTTTCTGGTAGCATCTTTAGGATTCTCTATGTATAGTATCATGTCATCTGCAAACAGTGACAGCTTTACTTCTTCTTTTCTGATTTGGATTCCTTTTATTTCCTTTTCTTCTCTGATTGCTGTGGCTAAAACGTCCAAAACTATGTTGAATAATAGTGGTGAGAGTGGGCAACTTGTCTTGTTCCTGATCTTAGTGGAAATGCTTTCAGTTTTTCACCACTGAGAATGGTGCTGGCTGTGGGTTTGTCATATATGGCCTTTATTATGTTGAGGTAAGTTCCCTCTATGCCTACTTTCTGGAGGGTTTTTATCATAAATGGGTGCTGAATTTTGTCGAAAGTTTCTGTTGCTCGCTCCCTGAGGGGGGTGGTGAGCTGGGTCTTTATATGGGGTGAGGCCAGGGGTGAGTCTAGGGGTCGGGCTGGAGGGATGGCTTTGGTGGTCTGTCTACCCCTTTGGTGGTGTTGAGTGCAGGGGTCATGTGTAACACCCTGCTTTTGCTGCTGATACCCTGTTTTTGCTCCTGGCTCTTCTGAAGTGGCAGTTGGGTTTTTTTGGTCTTTTTGTATCCTGTTGTCCATAATTTGCCCCACATGTGCATGTACACAGGTTTTAGTCCCTTATAGTTTTCTTTGTATTTTGTCACTGGGGTAGACGTTTGTCCAGGTGCAGGCACTGCAGCAAAGGGTCCCAGGTCCCAGCCTGTCTCGATAGCAGCTAACAGGTACTATGGAGTTACTGCCAGCACAGTCCTAAGTGTTTTATGGTATTACCCCATTAGGACTCAAAACAACCATGTGATGGGTGTTATGCTATTGTCTTCCCTAATTTATAGAAGAGGAGACTGAAGTTCAGAGTGGATCATTTGTGCAAGACCATAGACCAGTAAATAGTAGAGGTGCAATTTGATCCCCACTCCATCTGACCCCAAAGTCCATGCTCTTAACTACATGTGGTGCACTTTTCACCTCTATCACATCCACATCATGGACTATTATGTGGTTCTCAAAATGATGGTTATAACATGTAGAGATGCTTATAATTGGATGTGGAGAAAGCAAGATATGAAATTGTAGATATGACCGATTATAACCATGTAGAACAAGCAGCAATTATTTATAACCAAAAAAGCAGAAGGAAATATAGCAATGTTAACACTGGTCATTGGGGGATGGAAACACTCAATTTTCCTTTTACGCTTCCCTGTATTTTCCACATTTTCTGTCATGAGCGTTTACGAGTTATAATATAAATGAATGTGTCTGCTATTGAACTTGTCATTGAACAGGGGAACATCAAGGGAAACCCCCTTCATCATATCCCACCAAAGTGGCCTCCATTCCATTCGCCTTTGGCCCACAGGCTGGAAACCTTGTTTATTTATAGTAAGTATAGACAAGGAAGAGAAGTGAAGGAAGCGCTTCAAATGTTTGCCTTCAAGTTCTTGTAGGAGGAAGTGATCACTTTTTCACGCAGGACTCTTGGAAGCAAAGAGTTTAGTGACAAAAGAATACTATGCTTTTGCATAATCGGATGGGAAAAATAATGTTGTTGCCTCCACCTCTTTTCTGCAATTAGCCTGTGAAGAGTTGAGAGCTCAGGTTAAGATGTACCATCATTTAGATTTGGCAGATGAAATCACGTGACTCTAGACTTCATTTGAAAAGAAAGTTTCCTTTGATTAGGGGCAGAAAGCCCTCAGTCCTTCATCTGCAGTGATTTACAGAACTAAAATGAAAGTCAGGTGGGCAGCATTTTTGGTTCTTTTGATGGTTCTTGTTTAAACACCCAATACCCATTTCAGAGCTTTTAACACTCACTTTGTAGGTCGAAATGGCCTCTCGTCTGCTACGAATCCTAAATTAGTAGGCGTGTGTCTGACCAAGATTTGAGGGACCACATTTACTTTGAGTAAATATTCGCCTTTCATATTCGATTTCTTATTAAATGGTGTTTCAGAAACTGTGCTATACAATATCCCTATTTATAAGCGTTGTAGTTTAATTTTTTAAATTTCAATGTTGGGGCTTCCCTGGTGACGCAGTGGTTAAGAATCCACCTGCCAATGCAGAGCAGAGGACACGGGTTCGAGCCCTGGTCCGGAAAGATCCCACATGCCGCGGAGCAGCTAAGCCCATGCGCCACAGCTACTGAGCCTGCAAGCCACAACTACTGAAGCCTGCGTGCCTAGAGCTCGTGCTCCGCAACAAGGGAAGCCACCGCAATGAGAAGTCTGCGCACCGCAATGAAGAGTAGCCCCCGCTCGCCGCAACTAGAGAAAGCCCGTGCGCAGCAACAAAGACCTAACGCAGCCAAAAATAAATAAATAAATTTATTTTTTAAAAAAATTCCAAAGTTGGAACGTGTGTGTGTGTGTGTATGTGCATGTGTGCGTGTGTGTGCGTGTGCGTGTGCATGTGTGTGTGTGTTAGTTAAGAGGACTCTTTATGTCTAGGAAGGAACATCTTTCTACCGTCTCAGTTAAGAATTGTTTCCCCTTGCCAAATGTTATTTTCAGACAGATTGACAAGAGTGGCTTTAAAGGTATGAACAGTCCTGGTCCTGAAAAAAGCGGGGCAATTTCTTGTCTAGAGCAAAAGGAAGGCAAGTTTGGGGATACTGAGTCATCTAAGACCAGGCTATCAAGACATGACTGGCTGGAGTGCCTGGATTTTGGTATTTGAAACGTTCTTGTTTGAAATACTGACTCACCATGCAGAAGCTGTCTCTGTGAAATGGATCTTCCGGCAGAAACAGCTTTTTCCTAATTATGAGATGCTGCCAGGCTGTCCGTGGGATGACAGAGTGGGGCTGCATCAGTTGGGACGTTGGTGTCAGGGGAGGGAGGGGGTGTCTTTGGGTCACTCGGATAATGAGTAATTTGCTCTTGGCTAATGGAGTGTCTCTAAGGCCAGGGCTGGCTTTACACGCTTCTGATCAAGCCCACTGCCATTTGCAGGGCAACCGCATTGCATCCTTGCTGGGCCTCTGCTTGCTCAGGCAAGGGTGGGGCTTTTCTTGTGTTTCCACAGCGCTGAGCTTGCTTTAGTCATGTCATGACCCGTCTGGAAGATCCCTATGAGACCACCTGCTGCCCCTCAGTGGAGACATGGAAGACAGAAACGGGCCGGATTTGCGCAAGAAAGAACGCGTTGGGTCCATGGCAGAGCGGAGACTGAGCCTCCCAGGCTTCTATCCATTCTAGATGGCTGTGCTACACCTAATCTGGGGAATGTGTAAGTGTGCATTTGGGGACTGGGCAGGCAGCTCCTGGGGCCTTGGCCATGCCAGCGCTGGTGGTCGGTGTCGGATTTCCTTCCAGGGGTCTTCCCACATTCTGACTGGCGAGGAGGGTGGTGAGTGGATGGGCTTCAAGGGCATGCTCCGCTCCTTTCGCTCTCAGCCTTTGGTCCCAGCAGGTCCTGTGTCACTCGGCACATCCTCAAGAATTTCACGTCCACTCCCAGCAGGACGAAGTGAAGGGCTCCCATGCAAGTGCTGCGTTTCTCTCTCTTGCTGCTCGATTCCAACCTCCATTTATATCTTTGAGAACAGAGGTGGAAGGGACCTCAGGGATTGCTTTAAGCTCATGAAAACTACCCCCCTCCGCTGGGTCCTCCTCCCTCAGCAGCAAATTTTACCCGAGTTCTTCTTTTTACGTTTTTATTATTTATTTATGTATTTTTGGCTACACTTTCCAATAAATCCAGAATTCTCTGGTAATAGGTAAAGGTAATTGTTGTAAATCACACATTTAATCTGTGATTTAAATTTCTCTTTTCAGGTTCTGTCTTTCTTCTTTGTGCGGTTTTTAGTTTTGGGGAGGGGGGGTTGTTTCTTTGTGTTTTGGTTCATTCAAGCCTGATATTCTTAGCATTGATTTTCGTCAGTCGACATTTTGGATATGAAGGATTTCAAGTGGTTGTTTGGTTGAGAAGTGAACATGCAAAGCAATTGGTGATTAGCCTGTGAAGAGTTGAGAGCTTAGGTTAAGATGTACCGTCACTTAGCACTGCCTGTACCATCATTTAGTACATTTAGATGCTGCCTGAGTCGTGATTGATGTATTTTTCCCTTTCCTAATTTTAAACCCGCATTTTTAGATCGACAGTGTTAATATTCTTCCGTCTGCTGCCGTCCTTCCGTGTATGAATTGGCTGTGAGGCTGTGTGATGTGGCGTCTGGACTGGGGATTAGGGGACCCAGGTTTTCCTCTCTAATGCTTTCCTTATGTTTACAGACCACAAACCTTCAAGTGAAGGTTCTGTCATTAGCTGGCCTAGCTGTGAAGGCAGATGCACAGTTGCAAGGGGACTGATTCCACAGATTTCTGGAATGTTAGCGCTGGAAGGAGCCATAGCAGATCATTCAGGCAGCAAACCTTTCAAGGCATCTTGTACACACGGCCACGTACTGTTCCGGGGGCTGCGGACGCGGTGAGGAGCCACCACCCTCCAGTCCAATCCCTTCTCTTCGCAGATAGGTCTCTCAGTTCCCCAAAGAGAGGAGAGGACTTAGCTTGAGGTCACACAGCAAGTCCACCTCAGGGCTGGGCTGGAACGCAGGGCCCCTGGCACCCTTAACTCTGCTGATTATGCTTCAGCCGTGGTTAGATTCCCCCAAGTGACTTGAGCAAATGGCCCCATCTCCCCATCCTCCCATCCAAAAAAATCCAGCTTCCATGCCAGGCAGATAGATGGCTCTGGGTACCAGTCACCTGGAGGGCCTGCAATAGGTCTGCCCATCTGTGTGTGTCTAAGTCCATAGATCTTCAAATGAGGTGGGTAATGTCTTCAAAGGAGAGAACAGGAAAGGACCCTGCCAGGACTAGCTCAGGGACAGTCAGCAAGACTCTCTTCCTGTGCTCCCATTGGCCACAGCCCAGCTTAGTGGGCACGCCCCTTTGAGGCCCCTGGCCCGTTACTGTCCAGAGTCCCTAGGGCTTTGTGCATGGAAAATGCTCATTAAGTTTGGGCAGAATTGAGCTGATGGGCGAGAGGAGCCCATCAGGGGAAGATGGTGCAATCACTGAATGAAAGGGGCTGCTTACTGAGCTTCTGGACCATGAACTTCTGCCCATGGGCAGGTGGCTTCTGTAAGCTGGTTCCAGAAAGCTGTCGCTCCCCACCCCACCTTTGTCGAGTTGTCTTGAGCAGGGATGTGCCCTGTCACATCAGACACTGAGCTGAAAGCTGTGGGGATTAGGAAGATGCCACGTTAGCACATCTTTCTCTTTTCAGAGCTGAGCGTGCCAGTCACTGTGATGGGCAGCAAGACAGTGTTCATTGTTAATTAATTGTTAGTTGTCAACTCCGAGACTTTGTGGAGCTAAGAAGATGCAGGCAGGTTGTAGAATTCCTCCTTGAAAGATACCACAACAACATTGTTAAGGGCAAATGAAACACGCTTACTTATCAAAGTCTGCCGAGAGCCTTTCACGCTTTACCTCTGCTGAGAATTCACACTGTCATGCCCTTACCATAGGGTTTGCTCCTTGCATGATGGCGGGCCAAGCAATGGAGGATCTTCATCGTCCTTACGTCTCTGAAACATTTGAAACGTTACTGTGTTTTCTAAAGAGAAAAGACCCACAAAGGGATAACTTGCGCCTATTCTCAACTTCTAGTTTGGAAGGGTGACCTTGAGAAGTTCAGGACAAGCTTTTTCAAGAAGAAGCTGCAGCATAAGGGGATTGAGCCTTCGCCTCAGCGCTGGGGGAAGGGAAGTTCTGCAAAGAGCAAATTACCGCCTGGATTGTTTCTCTAGGGCTGGACCCATTGAGACCTTGAGCTTCCAGCCAAGCTGGAAGATGAGGTCCTGGCTTCAGAAGTGCTTGATTGAGATCATTCCTGATCTCAGAGGAACAAGGTACCACCTTGATTGGCCATGATCCTTGGAAGTCCTGGAGGTATTGCCCTGGGGGATGCAACCAGCCCATAGATTCGGGCTGCAGAGAAAGGCCCTGTCAGGCCAGGTCCTCTGTGGTCAGTGGTGGTGTCTGCTCACAGAGCGCTTCCCGGCCTGCTGTCGTCTCTGCTGAGCAGAGCTTACTGCCTCGACTGTGCCGCCTCTGTGTCTTTCCCCGTCTCTTGCTTTGTACCTGCTTGACATTCTCTTCATTCATCCCTTTGACCAGCCAGCAGGACCTACTTGGAGGCGTGGCTGCCGTAAAATGGGCCTGCGTGTTCCCCCGGAAGCAGCCTTCCCTCGCCTCCTTCCTCTTCCCCTCCTCTCCAGGTTATGTCAAATATTTGCGTGGTTTACAGCTCACCAAATGCCATCTCGTTTAATCATGGTTTTATTTAAGTAAGAGGGTTGTCAGGCTGAAGTGATTTTATTGTTAGGAGTCAGGAAAATACGAAGAAAACTCCCTTTTGAGAGTGGAGTAACACAGCACATTTTAGTTCAGTCTTCTCGATTTTTTCTTTTCATCGCGTTGTAGATCTCCAATCGAATATTGTTCCTGACAGTCCTAAACCAGGTGGGCCCCTTTGCCTGGGAGCTGGTGTCTACTGAACTCCGCCTTTGGACTGTCGGTCTGATCTCGCTCTTTTCCACCTACTCCATCCAGCTGCCAAGTATTCATAAGTAAATAGTTGAGAAACTGCTTCAATGCCCATTATGGACTGCCTTCCGTGCGTTCTGGGAGTACTGAAATCCTCGAGATGTGGTCCCCGTCCCCTGAGAATGTGTGACCTGTCTGTGGGGATGACAGACACAGGCCCTCCGTGGTAGAGGTGTGAAGCACCAGTGTGGGAACATGGGAGAGTGGCTGATTCTGCTCTGGCGGGAGCAGACCGCAAAGTACGGCTGTGCAGGTCGTGAACTGCACAAGGGTGCTGAATTTAAGTAGAAACCGTCCATACTGTAGTCATCAAAAACATGTCTTGAGGAAAAGGCACATTTTTAAAATTTTCACTAAGGCGCTGTACAGGTCAGGTGGCCCTGGGCCGGCATCGGACTGGAAGTGATGCTGAAAGCTCA